CAATTGGCGTTGGTTCATGGTAAGCAAACTGTAGTGTGGTGTCAACAGTTGCACCAGGGTGGACGAGTTTAGCGCATCTGTCTTTGATGACAATACGATACGCCCCGTCTTGACAGCTACTGGGAAAGACAACTCCCTGCTCGTTCGCAGTAAGCCGTAGTGCTTCAAATGCTTCCGGCGTAATTTGGGCAGCAAGGTAACCAATGAATGGAGCGACAGGAATTCCCTGACTGCGCAGGAAGTCACAAACTTGCGTGACATCATAAGCGTGCTTTCTTACCACAAAGACGACTAGGTCCTGAGTAAGTTCCTGTGAATCAATACCTTCATAGGCCTGGTGCAAGCTGATTCCAAAAATCTCGGAGGCGTGAGAGGTGGCTTGTGCAAACTGCAGTGCCCACTGGTAAGCATTGGGATTGCAGGTGGAGCTGTTGTGACTCTGGTAGCTAATCACCTCAGTGCTGCGTCGGTCGCCACCTGTTCGCAATGCAAGGGGGTTAGATGTGTCAGCGAGGAAACCATATCGCACGGGCAGACTAAAGTCGACCGATGCAAGGTCAACATGCTTGGGCTTCGCAGCAATTATATTCCAGTCACGAGCGAGGTTACCAATTCGGGTATTTTCATCGGGCGACTGCTGCAACCCAAACGCAATGATGTGATGCGTCCTCTTGTCAACACGTATGTGCCCCATGCAGTCAATGGTCCTGAGGTGCTTGATGAGTTGCGGCGAGTATTCACTAATACCTCTCGCTAGTACAGGCACCGCAGATTTATTGCCAAAGAACTGCAAGCAATATGTCGGGATGTGTGCATTTACAAGTCTTGTAATGGGGCCAAGGTGTTTTTCCAAGGAGATTGCCATGCAGCCAGGATGCTGCTGCCTAAAATTCAGTGCAAAACTCACATCCTGTGCATGGGTGGTGAGTACCCAGAAATTTTCTGGAAGTGACAATTTGATGCCACTCGGTCTTGCAGCGAAAACAAAGACATGTGGCACTTGCAGCATCTTGGGATGACTTGTGAGGTTGCGAAGCGCTTCATTCAGTGCCTCTTCTTTTTGTTTATCATTCCATTCTTCAAACTGCAGTGCAAGGGGTTCCTCAAAGATAGACTGCCATTCATCTTCGCAAAGGTTTATTTCACAAAGTGCTTCCGAGTCGTTTGCCACCTCACAGCTGTGATTCCCATCATGCTGATGTGGCTCAGGATTTGGAGAGCCAGGTCTTTGTACAGCCTTTACATTAGAGATCCCTGGACCGATGTGACAAGGCCCACATTGTGTATTCATAGGAGTATCTGAGTCGTTATCCAAAGCAGGGTTAAGGGGCTCAAGAAGATCTTTGGCGGCAGCCTTGCTAGGAGTATCCATATGAGTGATAGCAACGCTCTGACTCTGGCATGGAGTGGTCTTAAAGGCATGTCCGTAGTAAGACATCTTGGGGTGAGCCGTGTCAACAGGAGTCTTATCATCGATATCGTCATCACTATCTGGCACAGGGATGGTGACTCCCGAGGGAGCGGGCGGGGCACTAGTAGCACCACCGCTCCGCCTTCCCTGATTTGTATTGTTTTCCTGTGGAGTGAAGAAAGACCGGATAGGCTCCTGAGGTGCCACAGGCTTACCCGCCGCTCCTTTCTTGGCTTTGGACTTATGGTCGCTGTTCTGTAAGGATTTTCCTTTGGAGTCCCTTGTTCTCTTAGCCTGGTCTGTAGACTTACCCAGTATCAAATTTGGTTCACCCTTAGTTTGTTCATTCTTAGTACCCTTTAAGGGCATATCTTTGATGACAGGCGAAACTAAATTTGATGAGGCATTCACTCTGCCTGATTTCTTCGCTTCAGCTTCCCTCATTGGTCACTTGGCCCTAAATTTTGAGAGCACAGTAGCTGCTCAGCCCCTGAGGGAATTTGGGTTAGTGCACACTAAGGTCACGGCAAGGCAGGTCAACAGACTAGGCAAGGCAGTGCCTCACACTAGCAGTGAGTTGGGTCACACAAACTAGGCGAGGCAGTGCCTCACACTAGCAGTGAGTGGACACGCAAAGGAGGATAATTCAACTTAGACCAGGTGGGCAGTGCCCACACTGTTCTAAAAGTTGAATTTGGCCGGTGTTATCTATTTTGAGTTGGAAATGAGCACTTTCAAGTAGTCACAGGGAATGCTGAAAGCTTTTGGCAGCACAAAAGTGTCCCTATACAAGTTGTGCGGGCACAGGGCAGTGCAAGTGTATGTTCCTACGGACACAACCAAAGCAACAACCTACGGGCTACCCCAAACAAGCAAAAACCCTAGCAACAACCTACTTTCGGTGACAGTGGGCCTACCCTCGTACACCTACTCAGCTTCTAGGGCTCGTCCACTTTGGCCGTGACAGGCCTGGGCCCTACCACTCGACACCTACTAGCTTCTTGGGCTCGTCGAGCAACTTGAGCCGATACGGCCTTGAGCCAGATGGCTACGGAGATGCTAGGACCCCTGCAACCGCTGATGGGTTTATCATGCTTAGCCGTCGGGCTGGCTTAAGGATCTGGAACAGAGCGGGGTGCCTGCAAGTGCAGAGGTAGCATCCCTTGCCACGCACGAGACCAGCAAGGTGCGGTTTGAGCTCAAGTGAACAGGATTCTAACATGCAAGTTGCTCCGTGCAGCTTGCGAAGCCCACCCGCAGACCAGGGGGGAATCGAACCCACGACCCGCCGGTCCTGGGAGCAGGCGCGCGAGCCACGAGACAACTTCCGAGGACCACTTCGAACAACAAAAGTCGCAAACTCGAGTTTTTGAACCTCGACCACACCGATCCCCGCAGAGGGTCGTGCGGGAACCGCAGAAATCGTAAAAAAACTTCGAGTTCTTGCACTTCGACCACGCCGATCCCCGCAGAGGGTCGCGCGGGAACCGCAGAAATCCCAAAACAAACCTCGAATTTTTGCACCTCGACCACGCCGATCCCCACAGAGATTCGCGCGAGCATGTTAAAATTCGCAAACAACCTCAAGTTTTTGTACCTCGAGCGCGCCGATTCCCGCCGAGGGTCGCGCGGGCATGTTAAAAATCGCAAAACACCGTGAGTTTTTGCACCTCGACCACGCCAATCTGCAGAGGGTCGATTTTCGTGAAGTGTCGTCGGCGCTACCCCGCCGCCCTAGAAGAAATTTTGAATCCTCGCAAGTCAATTGCGCTTGATTCCTTCCACTTGCAACTTGCACTTGACTCCTTGCACTTGCAACTCGCACTTGACTCCATGCACTTGCAACCTGCGCTTGACTCCTTGCGCTTGCAACTTGCACTTGACTCCTTGCACTTGCAACTTGCACTTGACTCCATGCACTTGGCTCCTTACAGCTTGCAATGACTCTCATGACTCCTTGCAATGACTCCTTGCAATGACTCCTTGCAATGACTCCTTGCAATGACTCCTTGCAATGACTCCTTGCAATGACTCCTAGCAATGACTCCTAGCAATGACTCCTTGCAATGACTCCTTGCAATGACTCCTTCCAATGACTCCTTGCAATGACTCCTTGCAATGACTCCTTGCACTCCTTGCAATGACTCCTTGCAATGACTCCTTGCAATGACTCCTTGCAATGACTCCTTGCAATGACTTTCATGATGATGATTCCCTGCAATGAGACCTTGTAATGACTCTCATGAGAACAACTCAAGTGAACCCTTCGCCATGCTTTCGGGAAAAACTTTGCAGGTGACGACGTTACAAGCCGGAACGAAATAACTTAAGTGGCATCCAGCGTCCTCCCAAGTCCAAGAGGCATTTGATGCTAAAATTGGTTGAGCAAAATGTGCTTGGTGCGTGGTGCTTCCAGGTGGAACCTTGCAAGCAGTCGCGCCCTCTCCCTCCCTGTTCTGTTTGTTGCACACCATTGACCTTTGGGCAATCATTTGCATCACAAATACCTTTTGGCTCAAGGGCCCTGCCAATAGAGTTTACATTCGCAACAGCAAAAAGCGCGCTGCGCTTGCTCCCGGTGTGCTATGTCCCAATATCTCTATCTCTCCATCTCTCCTCTCTACTTCTGCCTCTCTATCTTTCACTAGGGAACACGAAGGGAAAGTAGGGGACATTTTGTGGACTATTGAATACCCGGAGAACTCTAGGAATTAGCAAGGGAGTATCAAGAAAATACGAAAGCAGCACCAGGGTAGTATGTGGGGAATACTTGCTAGGAGAATGTATGCTGAGGGAATTCTTGAGGAGACTGGGGACCGAACGCTGTGTTGCGACAAGCGCTGGTGCTGAGTGGGCATTCGGGGGAAGCTCCCTGGGCCGGGGTTCCCTTTGCTTGTGTTTTAGGGGTGTTTGCAGGTTGAGGCTCTGGTTTGTTTCTTGGGTTTTCATCTTATTTGTTACACAACTTTTTGATGGGGCTGCTTACAGCGGCTCCTGGTCCATACTCAATTTGAAATTGGAATGTAAATATGATTTCCAAAACGATGTTGATGAAATTTGTTTCGGGTTGAAACATTTTAAAAATGGAATCTTATTCGAATTCCTATCTTGAATTGGGATGGAGTTGATGTAAATCTGCAGATGGGACAGAACACAAGCATCACGATATGCAAGAGGTAGGAGTCGATTTGTATTTGATTGTGTCGTTCTGGGACACCCCTTGCAAGGACTCGGAAAAGATGAACAACGGAGAACCTTCGTTGAGAAATAATGGGAAACCAATACGTTCAAAATGTGGGAACCATGGAACTGCCAGGTACGCTGCCCAAGACTTCAAGACAAACCAAGTACTGCACAAAGGTGAAAGGAATGTGTTGACAGCTGTGACCTTGATCGTTCCCTTGCCCTGCTGCTCATTGTTTTTTTTGGTATCAATTGTGTTGACTGGCATTAGCGCTAGCCGTGTTGCAAGTGAGAATATGTGTTTTTTGTCAGTGTTTGAGCGCAGCTCACTCTCTTCTTGGTCCCAAGACCAAAGACCGTGAATTTGCTGGTTGCATGGAACATGAAGAGTTGAGTTGCTTGACCGAAGTGTGGGCTCAGTCCTGTCCATTTCGCACATTTGACATGATGGACATGAAGCGTCGTGCGAGGCCAGCGCCTGACGCAAAGCGGGCATTTTGGGGCCAGGTTTGGAGGGAGGCATCCCAAACCAGCCATTGAGCCATTTGAGTGGGCTTGCAAGCTTGAGTCAGCTAGAGGAAGGAAAACCCTAAAATCCCTGGCCACCAATTGGAAACTGTCCATGCGGGCAGGTCGTTGCTGGCAGTGGCCGTGGGTGCATGCGTATGCATGCACGCCTGGACCTCGGACAGTGGGACAGTCGGGCAGGGCTTTGCAGATGCTTTTGGAGTGGCATCGTCGCACTTTGAGTTTGGCCCCCAAGTTTGGCGCCGATTACAATGACTTTGAGGGTGCCTTTGTGGGAGGTGTGGACCTCAGCACTTCGCGCGTTGTTTTTCTTGCCGAGGATGTGGCCATTTGAAGGATTTGCCATTGTTCTTTGCAACCCACGGAGCGATTTGATTGCCAGACGCGATACCAGGTGTGCAGGCTTCCCGATCTAGCTTGCTTGCCTCTAGCACTGCAACTGCAGAGTCGAAGCAGAGCCTGGTACTGAGATCCTTGCTGCATGGGCATAGTAGGCTGGGCCAGCCAAAGCAACTTGGCGCAGCTTCAAAGGGACCTCCCCTAAGAGTGTTCCATGCAATGTCCTGGCTTGGGCTGTAATGAGCTTTCCGCATGTTCTAAGCGTGTTCTAGTCGTTGGACTAACGTAACATTTTTGCGATAGCCATTTGTGCTGTAAAAACCGTTTTCGCCTTGATGAATTGCGACATTCACCTGTGGCGCCTAAGGTTCCATGAGGTCTTCGCGCACAGAGCGCGGGCCTTTGGTCCAGCTTCGGGCAGCGAAGAAGGCGACAGGACCGGATGGGCCTTGTTTTTGACGCATCACGCTTTTTGTTTTTAATATTTTGATAATGGAAATCCCTCAATGGTGTTTAAGGGGAATCCAAAGACACAATCTTTCCGGGGTTCTCTTGATTCTAGTACGCGCTAACCGTAGGTGGAAGTTGAAGCAATTCATTGGAATTTGCAAGGAGACACCATCATGCACGGCGACACGGTGTACATCAAGGCGTTTTTCCCAGGGCGAACAGCGACCGGTGGGCATTTTGGGACTAGTCCGGTGTTTGATTCGGGAAAGCTGCCGTGCTTGACTACAAGCATTGATATGGGGCATGAGGTTTAGCTTTCAGGCTTGGCGGACAGAAGCACGTAAACAGTGCGGTCCGCTTTGCGCAGGTCATGACGGGGCGGTATGTCGGCGAGCTGGATGGCACCACAAAGCTGGAGTGGGTGAAGGCGCCTTCAGTGGGCCGTGGGGCAAATGATCAACTCTCCCCAGTTCGAATGCACCACACGCTCTCCATCCCGTTTGCATATGGATGCCTTTTTGAAAGGCCAGCGCTTGATTTTCTGCTGCAGCCGGAATTTATAGCACGGCTGCAACGAAGAGCGTGCTTGTTGGGAGAACTCCATGGCCAAAATTTGAGCCACGCCTTGCTTGGTCCCGAGGCCCGCGGCACCAAGAAGGACAAGGAGCACGCACTAACCATCGAGAAGATGAATAATCGCGACGGTCTGCTTCCCAGCCTTGTGCGTGTGTGTGTGTGTGTCTTGTTGGTTGTTCGTTTGAAGTGGTGGAGACGGGAGTGAATCTTCCAAGCATTTCACAAACGTACTGATGGTTGTTGAGCAGAAGCATGCTTGCTGAGAACCCATCAAGAATGGCGATGTCGTGATGTTCGTGATGCCGAGCGGGCCTCAACAAATGGTGCTGAGATAGAGAATTTGCATCTCAGCTTTCTCGCAACCTTTTTGTAATGACTGCTTAGATAGTGCTGGCTGAGGTCAGGTGTGCACATGGACGTCCTCGGAAGTGCAGTTCGTACCGACCCTAGAAAGCCTTGAATGTCAGATTTTTGACCTGACGTTTAGCACATGTGACTTCTCGCAGGTGCCAGGTACTATGACCCTAGAGGGGAGTGGCAGAAAATTACCATCGTCAAACAGGCCAGGCTGCTTACTGCTTATATGCAACAGCAGATTCCTGATGCCCCATGTTCTGAGCACCCCAGGATGGAGGGGAGATCTATTCTGGAGATCAGATCTTCTTGCCAGAAGCATAGACCATTAACGCCTGGACCGTGCCAAACCCGTCATCTTTCTTTGAGGCGAGGACATCAAGGAGAGTATTTGGATGCGAACCCCCTGGAGCGTGCCCCAGATGGAGAGGTGAAGGCGGCTGAGCGGATGTGAGATGCGTTTCCAACAATGCCCTGCTTTGGCAGGCACGATGGCGTGATGAGGGGGAGTGGTTCCTTGGATTTGATACGGTGTGGATGTTGAAGCAATGTCTCGTCGCTTTGCCGTCAGAACGTGGTGTGTGTGTGTGTGTGTGCTGGCGCGCTCAGGCAAGTTATGTACATTGAGAAATGAGTTCGCGGATCCCAAATAGCCTGCACCTTTCAGTTCATTGTGTGCCGGAGAACGGCACACTTTCCATGGCAGACGTCAAGGTTGGAGATAGATCGTGGGAGTTCTAGACCTGTTGTGGAGCCTGAGAAATTACAGAGCAAGAGACTGGAATGAGAGCAGAAAGATGTGCCTAGGGAAAGCAGATCTTGTGCAATGGCAGAGACATGATGCGATGGCGGCACGCCGCCTGAGTTTGCACAGCATATCCGCCCTGGCGGGCTTACAGCAGTGAATGCTCGCAGTTTTGAACGTTTGAACATGCTTCTGTGGGGAGCTGTGCCGTACTTGCCCTTGTTTTTCCCACTCCCTCACTCTTTAGGATCCCTCAATTTTTGTCTTTTGGTCGATGGGTGCAGTTCGCTTCTCAAACTGCCACGGCTTGGCTGCGCGCTCATGGAGCCGCAGGCATTGGGCGTTCAGGCGCAGCGGCTTTGGGAAGCGCGGGAAAGATTTGGCTGTGGCGGGTTACTTGATCAATTTTTTAAATAGGGAACACCCTCCCAAAATGGTTGGACATCTATGATGTGCACCTGAGGATCCCCAACCAAAAAATGATTTTCTAGGAGAAGCTGCAGGGCTGCTTTGAGATCCTGGCGGAGACGGTGCAGGCAAGTCCGTGGCAGCTGCTGTTTGCAGCGGCAAGGTGTTGGTTTCCGTCAGTCTCCAGTGCCAGGCGAGTTCTGGGCTGTGAGACGTGGTTGTAAAAGCCCCACTTGCGATTTGTCTGAAAAGCGAGCTCAGAGCGTGTTGGCAAGCTGTGCCGGTTGCTGTTCGTTCCATTGAGAGAGGGAGCGAGGTGTATTAACAAAATTAGGGTTGTCTCGGGGTGGTGCCAAATTTGAGATGTTTGACAGTGTGGTGTGTCAGGTGCTGGGAAGCGACCCTTCCGGGCAGCAGCTTCGCGCAAGCGAGTTGGCCACGCAGTATGCCGGGAACTCAGACGAAGATAGGCCGGTGATGTGATAGTTGTCCGAAAAGTGCCACTCTTGGGCAAGTCGAGAGCGCTCTGAGGCAGCGAGCATAGCCTCGGCGTGAAGCTTGGATTCCGGCTCACGTGGCAGTCTTGCACGCCCAATGCCAAGGTGCGCCGAGAGTGAGGGCCTCGTCATTCCTGGCTGTTTGAACTGTATGCTGCCTGTTGCCTTGCCGTTGCTACTTTAGAATGTCCACAGCTGGTTTGGCCGCCAAGCCCGGGGAATATCATGCTAAGGCTGATGCAAGCCGTAGATGCGTTGGCTGATGAGGATTGGCAAAGTCTGCCAAATACCAGTAAGCAGCATCATGATGCGGAATCGAGCTTTTCGAGAATGGTTGACTCATGTGAGAGCACAAATGCACACACACACACACACATGCACGCACACGCACACATGCACACCTGCACACCTGCGAACCTGCACACCTGCGCACCTGCACACCTGCACATGTATAAGCACATGATGTATGATCAGCGTGCCAGCAGATGCGACTGGGATGGTCCAAGCCCAAACGGCGGCATTTCGCAATGCAGGACTCGGAGGTGAAGGACGCCGCATTGCAGGCGCCTCACAGAAAGGGCTCCGCATGGACCCGCCCATGAATGGGTGGATTTCGTCTTGGCAGTTCGGGGTAATTATCAAAATTGGAAGCTGTGGTCATTTCCTGACTCATGACTACCAGTTTAGTAATGGGACGAGTCATGACGGCTTCATTCTGGAACTGTCTCCAACAGTGTTCTTAGTTTTGACAAACCCATTTGGCATGGGCGATGAGGGTCTCAAGCACGAGGCTTATTTCGTCCAGATGGCCGGGTTAAACGACCCCATGTCATCTTCGTTCTTCGCAGTGTCAAAGGTCATGCTGGGCCCAGCTTGCTGAGCAAACTCTCCCAAGCAAATGTTAATACTTTATGGGCGCTCGATTGTCGGTTGGGCAGAACGCCCCAAGTTACTGACACACACAATAACCAAACTACACAATCCTTGTGGGGAACATTTGTCTCTTTTTGCATCATGTTTGGTTGCGTTGACAACAACTCTATCATCATTTCAGCAGCTCGATGTTGCTGTGCCGTCAGAAGGCTGGGTTTGGCCATCTCCAGCTCAACGTTCTGTTTGTTCAAGAATGGATGGAATAGGCAACGGTTCTCGTTGTCGTGTATAACTCTCCCAATGCCCTCATGATGCCAGTCAAATTCCTGATTGCGCAGGTGCAAGTCCGGGTTGTGGTTGACCTACGATTGGAGAAGACTGGCTCCTTCTTGAGAGAAGACATTCTTGTTCTTCAAACGTGGATTGTGCTAAGGAATCCGGTGATACCTTTGACTTGGCCAGGCGCAGGCATGTGCAGAGCTTCGCTGTCGCCTGAGCTGTGCTGAAGAACGACTATGTTGAGGCCTTAGTCCTGAGACGTGGGCGAGCACTTTGCTCGTGGTCTGCAGTGGCAGCTCGTTGCACAACACGAAAGTTACACGTCGTTGCTGAAGAACGGCCACTCACACACGGGAGTCACGTCTTGTTCATTGGTCAGGGATCAGCAGTCCTTGAGCTTGAATGAGTGAGCACCTGGCCTACATTGCATGGCAGCGAGGTCTTGCGCAGCGTCTGCAAGACATGCCGGATTTCGCAGACTTCGCCGGCACGCCAGGCCAGATGCTAGAGCAGAAGCGGAGATTGGATCTGCGGGCTTCCTGCCAGGTGAAGGGAAGTGACGAGCGCGATGGAGACCCACGTGACCCATTGTGGCTCTGCCAGCGCGCTGTGAAACATGGGGCGCAAGGGTTGGATCATCCGCCCTGTATGGGAGTGTTGGTTGGGTTAGGGGAGGCCGAGTTATGCCATGTGGTGAGCGCTAAGATCCGCCTGCTGTCCGTCAGCACACAAATCTTTGGCCTCTTCTTTCCACCTCAGCACCTTTCTTTTTCAATTCTCAATCCCACCTTTGCCAAAAGCTCGAAGTCAAATCCCAAAGCAGCCAGCAACAAGACTGAGTGTCGGCGCCTGCAACGCCCAAAACCCCGGCCATAGCCATGGCCACATGACGCCGCCGGCCCAGCCACGCCGGGTCTCGGCAGGGAGCCCAGCGTGGCTGGTTGGCGAGGGCGGCTGGTTGGAGTTGAATTCGGGCGACATCAGTTAAACAAATCAGATAGATCCTGTCCGCGGTTGTTTGAACGGTGGTGGTTCGGCCGGGTTTCACGTACTTGCCATCTTTGCACCTGAAGAATGGTCGGGCTGTTCGGCATTGCAGGAGGTGCCAAGAAAGATGCTGTCAGTAACAGTGACATGGAAGACGTGCCCAGCTTTGTCACATCCCAAGTATGTCGGGCCCGCCGTGTCACAGGAGGACGATCGCCTCATGGATTTATGGGATCGACTTTGCAGGGCCCTCGTCGTATGTCGCACAAAGCCGCGAGGAGGTCTTGGCGGAGCCCGTTGCGCGCCGCCGACCTGCGCCCGAGGTGCGGAGCCGCGCGAATGGCGTGAGTGGTGCTTCGCCAGCGTGGGCAACTGGCGAAAGCATAGATATCAGAATATTATATATCTATATGTCTATATGTATGATTATACGGCACTGTTTTGAGACAATTTCAGTTTTGGCTGTTTGTTTGGGCCGTTGTTTGCTACTCGCAGCGGGTCGATTCCATGTCGATTTCCCTTCAAGCACCAGGATCTATCAATTTTGGGGCACTCCCGAGCCGCAATTGCCCCTAACTCCGTGCTTGGTTGTGATGACACCCTCTCCAATTTGTGTGAACCTGCCTTGTCCTCGGATTGATTGCGCCACAGCTTGTCAGCTTGTACGCAGAGGGAGAAATCTGACCATTGCGTGTGAATAATGCACAATCCCCGATTGTACCATGTATGTGGCATGCTGACAGTTTACAAACTCTGGGCCTGCCTTGCTCTTCCTTCCCGCACCCTCCCACCTTCAAGCGCTGGTCAATGCCCCGGCAAGACTCATGGCCGGCTCAGAGGTTGTTGGTATGCGTCAAAATTCGGGCCCCCCAAAGCGAGGTCCATCAATTGGAGACCTCCTTTTTGCTGCATGAGTCCATCGCCGCGGCTTCCGGAGGCCCTGGGCTGCTATGGTGGCTACGGGGGTTCGACGCAGGGCGCTGAGACTGAGAGCTTCCCCTCGCCCAAGGCCTTGTTTGCCCTTGTTTGCAACGGAAGGGTTCGATGGCACGTGGCAAATCCAGATTCGAGAGCTGGGCTTGATCCTTTTTGTGACATGGAGCCCAGTGCATACAATTCTGCGGTGAAACTGATACAGGAACATGCTTTCCTCCATTTTCTTGCAAGTGCTGGAAGATGGACTTTGGCAAGAGTTTAGTTTCTCCCTTCTCACCACAGTGCATCCCATGGCCCTACTTGTTGCGACTTCGCCACTCGGCACGGCAAAATGGGTGTGATTCCCAAGAATAGGCAACCCTATGCAACCCTCCAACTTCGTGTCCTTGGATTGGGGAAGGGGGAGTGGTTCGGTGGTTCGAGCCGAAAGCTCAGGTCCTCCACGGCTTCGGCGCGCTCGCTGTCGAAGAGCGGATCCGCCCCAAGCCTCGTGGAGGCGAAGCCTTGGTCTTCGCAAGGGAGCCATTTGTGCGTGAAATTTGGGCCAAAGTGGGTGGCTCTGAGGGAGTTTCCGCAGCCACTCAACAGGGGGCTCCCAACAAAGACACAGCCACACAAGGGGGTTTCCCAATCTAAGAAGCAGACACCCAGGAAAATGGTTGGAGCCAACCATTGCTTGGTTCCTTTTTTTTTCTTTCTTGCCTTCCAAGCAAGCGCCCATTCTTATCCAACAAGGACTGCGAACCACTGGAACATTTTTGGAAACCTTCATCATTCATTTCACCTTTCGGGGTGATGCTACCAGGGTCGTTGATTTGTTCTTTTCAAACGTCATCTGAGCCAAGCTTGAGTGAGTTTCATTTTGGAACTCGGCCCACATCTTTCCTGTCATACTACAGAGACGTTGTGAATGGTGGTAGAATGCCTGGTGTATCTTGTTTCCCTACTTGCAGCATTTAGGGCATACCTTCGCCAAAAATTAAAGGGATAAGGGGATCTGAAATAGCATTAGTGCAAAACACTGGCGCTCACTTCAGGTTCGTTCTTTTTGCGTGCCCCGCTTGTTTT